TTACGCGGTGCTTTACTGTAATTTCCACAGTGATCATCTTAGAAAACCCCGAATTCCAACATAGGAATTTGAGGATTTGGAAATTACAATAACGCTATCTGCTCAAGCAATCAGCGATGCTAATTATGGGAATTATACCTATTTCTTGCGGTAATACCGTACTGTAGGATTACGGTAGGCATAGACGCATGGTCAAATGTTCGTGGTGTCTTTACGGTAAGACGCTAAGGTGACAGCTGGATATTTTTTTTTGTGATCAGCACGTTTAACACCTCTAGACGAAAAAATCAGACGGATCTGTGTTTTATCCACCGAGTATCTATGTTAGCACGTTACTATTGCACGAATAGGTTCGCCTCGAGAAAATATGTTTTTTTTTGTTGAAAATTTTGAAAAAAGTTACAACAGTGCATTCTTTGCGGCGGATGGTCGTTGCTGTGGGTTTTTACATATGTGGGACTTTTCTTTCATAGTTTTCCGCGTGTATATTAGAATCTGAGATTGGTGAAACCCACCAACGCTGTCACAGATAAGATCTTGATTTCCATTGTAAACTATAACATTTGTTCCATTCTTTAGAAGCGAGTCTACAGTATCCCAGTTTGGTTTCATGAAATCCTCAGCTTGCATATTGAACACGGCATTCGACTGAGCTGAAGAAATTGCATTATTTCTTTGGATTTAAACCATATTCTTTGCTTCCACCTCCAAACTTCACACTGTCGGGAATGATTCCAAGCTTTTCTCTTACTGTGGTATCCATGTAGCTGGACAGTGCATCTCTCTGATAGAAACCAACATGTCTATTGAATAAGCGATCTAAGCAGCATTTCATTATTGAGTTGAAATCTTAGAAAAACACGAAAAAAACTGACTCATCACACTATAAGCTGATCTCTTTCTTCTCTTCTTCGACCAATCATCTTGTCCTCCGTATTTGAGAATGTTATACCATGATACTCCTCCGGTTTCCTAGGAGATTCAGATAAAGCTGAAAGGAAGAAAGGATTCTTACATAAAATTTTATTTCACGCGAACCGTTCCTATAAGATCTTCCATATTTCCCCAGCAAGTGGTGGCTTGTTTCCATTGGCCTTGATCAACCTTGTTCTGGCAGTTCTTTGCCTCTGCATTTACTCGAGCCAGTTGATTGCTATCCAGGTAGGACTGAAATGGGAAATATTAGTTTAAATAAAAGCAAAAAGTGAAGTCCAAAGCGATATGATACCATAAGTGTACTGAGAAAGCTAATCAATCGTCAAAGAAAAATCTCTGTATTATAAAACTTGAAAATTAGAAAATCAAACTTCTTGAGGATTTTTTCGTGAATTAGATGTGACTATCGTGATTTTCGTACTTCAAAGCTCCGAGATTTTAGCTTTGCGGTAAGTTATGGTGTGATTTCACCTTAACCTACATTCGCATAAAGAAATTCGCCCCAGCTGTTCACATAATCCATTGCCGAGATCCACGAATCGCCAAGAGCTACACCGCGAAAGTCCAACCTAATGTTACCTGCCTTAATCTCCTAAAAAAGCATTTACTTAGATATTTGATCCAAGTAGAGGTGGATTTAACCACAAGAAAGGAAATAACGCTAAAGGCATAGTTTTTTATTACAATAAGTGGCATTGTGTTATGACTTTAACATTGGGGCGCACAAACGGCTACCTATTTGCGCTTTATTGTCGTAAAGGCGGCGCGGATTACTGTAATAGAAAACCATGCCATTAGCGTTATTTCCTTTCTTGTGGTTTAACCTGCTTCTGCTTACCTGAGTAATAACTCTCGCAAATTCGGCGCTCATCTTACCACCATAGCTTTCGCAAAAGATGAAGAACGGTCGAGTACGGTATTCATAATGAAGAATTAGAAACTGTCGTAGCCAAGCCAGCAAATCTTGCCCAATCTCTGCTACGTTAGTCGTAAAGGCACCATCATTATCCACATAAGAGAAGCCGGCTCCGACTGGGTTATCCACATAGACCAAGTCGGCAACTTGTAACTGAATTATGAGGATAGAAGGCATACATTTTTCGTACGAAAATATGTTATCCTACCCATGTGGAAGGATTGTCCGTTGAATTCATCATTTTAGGACCAGTTTCTTCAAAATTACCAAAACCAGTGCTGGATGCTCCTGGTCCTCCCTGAACAATCAAATATTCATAATACATATAGCAAAGTCAACAATAAAAACTAAGAATTTCGCTCTTCTCGCAGAACAAAATCCTCAGTTCAAAGAACCTGTAGCCAGAGAATCAGTGGCCTGTTATTTGCTGGTTTCACAGCGTAGAGCCACCAGAAAGTGTGCGCTCCTGGGCGGATATCAACGTAACCCCAATCTTCATCGTACTAAAACAATTGCTATCGCCTAAATTATTCGAGAAAATCGCTATCTTTCAATGGTTGTTTTTATAATAGGAAAAACATGTATTTGAGCCAAAAGAGATTGATGTCAGAAAATTCCAAGCTTAAAGGGAACCTCGTTGAAGAATTTAGCACAGTAAATTTATTTGAAAGTATAGATAAATTGTTACCTGTAAGAGTCCATTCCATGTGTTGACCGTGTTGTGAACAGCTTCTCCAAGAGAAACACATACCAGCAGGGCTGTCGCAAGGCGACACAACATTGAACCTTGAGAAGAGAGTTCTTACGTTTCAGTCTAGGAGACGAAAAGCAAATAGGAACGATACAGAAAATTTTTGAGGATGACATCGAAAAATGGAGACAGATTGGCTATTTCTCAGAAAATGAATGAATTTATGGGATGATGGTAAGAGTTCGTAGATAATTTACACCACACAAGAATGCCGCAGGGCTAATTTGTACTAATTCGCTCTCTCCAAGCAATAATTCATAAATAAGCTGTGGGAGAACAGCGCATTTTCTCTTTAACATTACGTAAGAAAGAATTTATAGGTTTGTCATGTTGTGAGAAGAGAAAGGAAGCAAAGATGGTTCACTTTGACACATGGTTACCTTAAGGTGACTCAATCCATTATTCCGAAATACTTTACAGTGTGTCCAATCTCATTTTCTCTCTAACTGTGTGACTTTTGGCTTGAGCAAGATTCTCAATAATAAACATCGTAGCTTTCTTTGTTGTGACGTGGCAGATAGAAGAGTTAGAGAAGATCTCAATGAAAAAGGTTCATCTTTGATGTCTGACTACAAGAAAATTTACCTCGTGCAAGGTCTGATTTTGTACATTGCAAAAGCAACCCTATAAGCAAGTGAAAATGTTATGATCAATTTGGTTCCATAGCATAATCTTTCTTAGTTTGCAATTTCATGTGTGTATTTTCTGTAAACTATTTTAGATGGGAGAATGCAATGGCTATGCCTCTTCATAGCTCAATATGTACTACGATCTAATAAACACAATTTCCTTTTTTATTATCTCTAGCACAGGCTTTCAATATATACCATAGCATAACCCAAAGGATGTCATTTGCAAAGGACAATGCAGCTAAGATAAAAATGAAAATTACAACATTTTGTAAGATTAATTGTTTTAAGCGCTGAAGTTTCAAGCATGTGGAATTCCGCAGGTATTTAATTATCAAGTGCGAACTCTTGTGTTTTAAATGAAAAGATTGGTGTAATAGTTATAAATTAGTGCAACATAAAATATCACTCAAGGAAGCAAAATCTATACCGTGAAAAAATACAATTTGCAAATGGAAAAAAATTACAATCTGGGTGTTACGATGTATGCAATTCAGAACAGAGCAAACGGATACTTTGCCAATAACAAAAGTTTTGAGATCTAAGAGCGTAATCATTGCAACGTTATCATCGCGCAAGGGAATTAGTTGCTAATCCCTAAAATGGGTCATATGATAAGTGAACAAATGCCAGAGCGAAACTTGATTATGTCTGACTGCAAAAACGAAGCT